GATACACACATTTTTGGGGGGACATAATTCAATCCATGACAATACTCAAGGACATACTTTGGCTCTCACGGACTTGTTGTAATTTTCTTCAGTTTCAACTTGAACTTGCATATGAGCAATTGATGGTCTGTTCCACATTCGGCCCTTAGCCTTGTTCTGGCTGATCAAGTTGAGCTTTTCCATTGTCTCTTTCCACAGATGTAGTCAATTTCATTCCTGTGTATTCTATCTGGCAAGGTCCACGTGTATAGTTGCTGCTTATGTTGTTGTTGGTCTTGCAAAATTCTGTCATGTGATCTCCAACATCGTTTCTATCACCAAGGCCATATTTTCCAACTACCGATGCTTCTTCTTGGTTTCCAACTTTGGCATTCCAATCACCAGTAATTATCAATGCATCCTGATTGCATGTTCAATCAATTTCAGACTGCAGAAGTTGGTAAAAATCTTCAATTTCTTCAGCTTTGGCCTTAGTGGTTGGTGCATAAATTTGAATAACAGTCGTATTAACTGGTCTTCTTTGTAGGTGTATGGATATTATCCTACCACTGACAGTGCTGTACTACAGGATAGATATTGAAATGTTCTTCTTGACAATGAATACGCCATTCCTCTTTAAGTTGTCATTCCCAGCATAGTAGATCATATGATTGTCCGATTCAAAATGACCAATACCAGTCCAATTCAGCTCATTAATGCCTAGGATATCGATCTTTATGCATTCCATTTCATTTTTGATGGCTTCCAATTTTCCTAAATTCATACTTGGTACATTCCACGTTCCAATTATTAATGGATGTTTGCAGCTGTTTTTTCTCATCTTGAGTCGTGCCACATCAGCAGATGAAAGTCCCGAAAGCTTGACTCCATCCACGTCATTAAGGCCGACTCTACTTGGAGGTGGCAGCTCTTCCCCAGTCGTCTTTCGAGTGCCTGCCAACCTGGGGGGCTCATCTTCTGGCACTATATCAGACAATGTCCCACTGCTATTCATAAGGTTTTCAGTGGCTAATTCTTTTCAGAAGTAGATTGCCTGGTCCTTCTTCCTAGTCTGTCTTAGTCTGGAAGCTCAGCTGAAACCTGTCCACCATGGGTGACCCTGCTGGTATTCGAATACAGGTGGCATAGCTTCCAGCATCACAGCAACACGCAAGCCCCCACAGTACAACAAATTGACAGAAGCGTGGGGGCCCATAAAAGTTAGAAATCCCTATGGGCAGTTCTACTGTGTCACATGGAGTCACGGTGAATCAGAATCAACTCGCAGGCACCTAACAACAACAGTATATTGGAATAGATTTGATTTTACATATTGAACATGTATCTTGCAACCTTGTCAAGCTTACTTATTAGTTCTAGTAGTCTTTTGTGTAGTGTGTGTATTCATGTTGTCTGTGAATAACAAGTTTAAATTTTTTCTTTTGAATCTTTGTGCCCATTTCTCCCTTGTTTTACAGCACTGACTGGAATTTTCCAAGCCATGTTGAATGGAAATAGTCAAAGTGTATATTTTTGCTTTGTCCCCAATTTTAGGGAATGTCCTAGTCATCTAGTACTGCTCTAACAGAAATACCACAAGTGGATGGCTTTAACAAAGAGAAATTTATTCTCTCACAGTCCAGTAGGCTACAAGTCCAAATTCAGGGTGTCACCTCCAGGGGAAGGCTTTCTCTCTCTGTTGGCTCTGGAGGAAGGTCCTTGTCTTATCAATCTCCCCCAGACTAGGAGCTTCTCTGCGCAGGAACCTCGGGTCCAAAGGACATGCTCAGCTCCTGGCACTGCTTTCTTGGTAGTATGGTCTGCAGCTCTCTGCTTGCTTCCCTTCCTTTTACCTCTTACAAGAGATAAAAAGTGGTACAGGCCACAGCCCAGGGTAACTCCCTTTACATTGGATCAGGGATGTGACCTTACACAATCCCACCCTAATCCTCTTTAACATAAAATAACAATCACAAAATAGAGGACAACCACACAATACTGGGAATCATGGCCCAGCCAAACTGATACACACATTTTTTGGGGGGACATAATTCATTCCATGACAGGGGAAAAGGGTTTAATGTTTCACTATTAAGTTACGATGTTAGCTATAGTTTGGTTGTATATGCCCTTTGTGGTGTTGAGGAAGATTCTATTTATAGTTGGTTGATAGTTTTTAATCTTTGACATTCTCTTCAAAAGGTGGAGCTTAATTCTTCTAACGTTGAGTTTGGGCTGGAATGTACTGACTTGCTTCCAGGGAATAGAAAAGGCAGAAGCGGCAGTGTGTGACTAGACCCCGCGTAGACCTGGGCCCATATGGCTTGTCAACGACCGTTAAACTCACGCCTCCCGCTGCGGGATGAGGTCCCAGAGACCGAACCGGCGGACCAGGGTCGGGGCCCCATAGGGTATCAGCGCATTGTCCGCCTCAGAACCTGAAACAAACTCTACATCTATTCCCTTTTTCCCAGGAAAAAAGCGGTCGGGAGGCACCGCGAGGCCCCGGCGGTGTGTCCAGCACCGCCCCGCTGCCTGGAGAGCGGGAGCCGTCCCGGGCGCTGCGCGAGTTGAGCGGTCACTCCCGCCTCCCCGGGGAGCGGGCACCCTCCAGAGGGGCCAGGCTGGCAGACGCCGCCGTGGGGTTGCAGCTAGGGGTTCGCAGCTAACAAGGAGAGGCTGTCGGGCACAGACGAGCGAGCGGTTGAGGACCAGGCCTGGCGAGGGGTAGGCGCCGCGAGGGCAGGGCCTGGAGCGGGGAGGGCCTGATGCACCTTGGCTCCTCCCCTCCGGCCCCGCGGACCACTGAGGTTAGGGGGTCCTCCCGGCTTCCTAGAGCGACCCGGAAGCGACTCTGGGTGCGGGTCTCGTGATCAGCCGCCGCTTCCGGCCGTCGCCGCAGCTGGTTTTGGGTCCTTCCGCTCCGGATCTTGCGCTCTAGGTAGGCGATGCGGCGGGAGCAGGGCCTGCAGAGAGAGTGGGTGCAGTGGGGTCGTCCTCCCTGGGGTTGTCCTCCCTAGGTGGTTCGTGGCTCGCGGAGCGCAGCGAGGGGGCGGGCGCAGACGGCGGACCGGAACATGGCCCTTTGCCTCTACATCCCGGGAGCTCTGGAGACAGATGGCTTTTCTGCCAGAGGGAGGATCGATCCGGTGCCTGGCGTAGGGGGTGGGGAAGAATGAACAGCTACGAGCGCGCACCTAACCCTGTAAGTGCACGAATGCTCCCAGCACCAACTTTAGAGATGCATTGCGGTACGGGGACGCAGTGTGAAGTGACCAGGGCCCGCCGCGGACCCAGCAGGGCAGGAATCGAGCCCGGGGCTGCCTCCCGAGTCCGCCGGTTCCCAGACTCTGCCACCCGGCAGAGGGCGCGCGCAGAAGCTGGGTCATTCTCAGGGGACGTCAGGGAACAGGATCCGGGCAGCAGAAATGCCCAAAAGTCCTGTTACTAGCGAGGTGCACACCAGAGAATGGGGTGCGGTGAAGCCCATAGGGCTTCCTGTGCTTTGGGGCTCCCCCTAATGCTTCACCGCACCCCGATCCCGCTGTGCTGGGAAGGTCCTGGGTTTGATAAGCACCTTGGGGACAGGAGCTGTGCTTTGCCGATCTCTGCTCCAGCACCTGGTGTGTTGAGTTGGGCAGGTCTGATCCTGCGTGAGCAGATGTATGGATCTCTCACCTGTGGGGGCCTGGTGAAGCAGTGCTGTCCCTCAGATAATGTCGCAGCCTTTTCCTTTAGATAGCTTACATACGTCTGTTGCTACACGTTGCCCTGTTAGAGTTCATTTGTCCTGTCCTGGGGGCTGTGTCTGGTCCCCCTGTGCTGCAGCGGAAGGCATGGGGACTTCTGAGTAGACAGGCCTGGGTTCCAGTCCTTGACTTCGGCATGTTATGTTTTGAGACTCTGTTTCCTTATCTATAAAATGAGAGTGATAACCAGGTCTTGCACAACTATTGTAAGGATTCCATGCTGAGTGGTTAAGTGGTCCTGGTGTGGCTCGTGGCAGTAACAGCGGTGGCCATGTCCCTGGGTTGCCTGGACCTTTGTGCTTGTTCATCTTTCGCCCATTAGTGTGCTCCCCTGTTCCTGGTCCTCTAACTTCTCTTCCCTCTACCCCATCTCCTTTCTTGCCAGCTCCTTCTCATCCTTCAGTCTCGGCTACCGCTTCCTCTGGGAGGCCTTCCTTCTTCCCAGGACTAACATGGGCCCCTTTGCTACTTGCTCCCTGGCCACACGTACCACACGTGACTGTCAGCAGTGGTTCACACTGTCAGCGTCTTGAAGGCAGGGACCACAACAGTTGTCACTCATTGGAGTGGCACATGGAGTCACTCGGCTTCTCCCCTCCCCTTCCCTCCAGGCAGCAACATCTGAGGGACCTGCTCTCTGGGTTGGTGGATTGAGGAGGAAGAGGCAGTGATGTCTGTCGTGGGGGCTGCAACCCCATACCTGAATCTTCCCAGTGATGGTCACAGTGGCCGGGTGAGTTTCTTGGGGGCCCAGCTCCCTCCTGACGTGGCAGCAATGCCCCAGCTCCTGGGGGAGCTGGACAGGAGCACGTTCAGAAAGTTGCTGAAGCTGGTGGTCAGCAGCCTGCAGGGAGAGGACTGCCGCGAGGCTGTGCAGCACCTCGGGGCGAGCGTGGGCCTGCCAGAGGAGCGGCTGGGCACCCTGCTCGCAGGCGTGCATACCTTGCTCCGGCAGGCCCTGCGGCTGCCCCCGGCCAGCCTGAAACCTGAGGCCTTCAAGAACCAGCTCGAGGAGCTCTGCATCCCCCAGGACCTGGCCGGGGACCTGGCCAGCGTGGTGTTCGGGAGCCAGCGGCCCCTCCTCGACTCCGTGGCCAGCCAGCAAGGTGCCTGGCTACCCCGTGTGGCCAACTTCTGGTGGCGGGTGGATGTGGCCATCTCCACTAGCTCCCTAGCCCGCTCCCTGCGGCCAAGCATCCTGATGCAGCTGGAGCTCTCTGATGGGTCGGCACACCGCTTTGAAGTCTCCACGGCCAAATTCCAGGAGCTGAGGTATGGTGTGGCGCTGGTCCTGAAGGAGATGGCGGATCTGGAGAAGAGGTGTGACCGGAAACTCCAGGACTGAGCCTGTTGGGACAGCTGTGTGGGCGTGGCCCCAGAAGGCAGTCTGCGTGTCCTGGGGCAGGCCAGCAACGGAGGTGCCTAAGTGTGATGATTGTGTTTTCTTTTTCATTGAAAAAGACAGCTGTGCCTGTTTTTCTTTTCTTTTTCTTTTTTTTTTTTGGAAGTAAAGCAGCTGTAGAACATCTGTCCTCAGTGGGCATCAGAGAGAGGAGCAGGGGTCCTCGGTACTTCTAGGGTGGGAGTGTGCAGAGGCCACGAGCAGCTTTGCACCGTCAGCATCACCGACTCTATGCAGGGGCCTTGGGGTGCTGCTCTGGGCAGAGCCTGGTCCCCTTTGCTGCTGGATCGTGTTCCCCTGGCTGTGTCCCTCTCCCCTTCTGGTCCACTTTCTGTTTGCTTTGTGTGGAGAAGGTGTGTGGGGAAGGTCCACTTCCTGTTCGCTCTGTGTGAAGAACCGAAGTCCCATGCAGTAAACGGGGCCCACGTGGCATATAGGAATTTCTCATACAGCGAATGCGCTTTAGAGCCCACCTTGCCTCTGCGGCCAAGCTTGGCATCTTGTAAGCTCCCTGTACCCCATGAACTGCCTCTTGCTGTCCCCTTCCTCTGGGTACACTTGGGGACCTGGGCTGCGTAGAAGAGGAGGAGGCTGCCTTCATGTCCACTCCTGGCAACTTGTTGTACATTTGAAAAAAGCTAAAAAAACACACACACACTCAAAATACTCTACGGAACCCCTGCCATAGACAGCCCTGGAAACATTCTGACCTGTTTTTCTTCCCAGATTTTATACCTATGCTGTGTGTGTTGTGCAGTATTACTGGTGCAGGCAGTCCGTGGGTGAGGTCGGGCTGGTACGCTGTGTCTGGCCTCCCGGCTACGTTCCTCACCGTGCACTCTGCTGCCAAGGAGAAGCCCCGTGGACTAGGAGCTGGAACACCCTTCTAAATCATGGGCTTGGCGGCAGTGAGAGGAGGCCGTGTCTCGGGTCCGTGAGAAACATGTAAACCCCTTCTTCAAGGACCAGAGTCGTCGTCATTTGCAAACATGACCTCAAGCCTTGCAGTGATCCTTACAGATAAAAGTTGTTTTTCTGTTTCATAGGTAAACTGAGGCTCAGAGGTCACATGCTTCAAATAGTACGCAAGAACAAGACTCTTGTGGGCCCCTCTGGCTTCCGGGCCATGGAGGGGACCCCCTTTGTCCTACAAGCGGCTTTGTGCCTCCTACAGCTCTGCCCGTCAGGATAGGAATAGCAGCCACAGACCCTAAGTAAACAAGTAGGCGTGGCTGCATTCCAATCAAACTTTATTTAGGGATGCTGAAATTTGAGTTTCATGTGTTACAAAATATTTTTCTTTTTTTTCCCCAACCATTTAAAAACCATTCTTAGCCTTAAGGCCTTATGAAAGAAACCAGGTGGCTGTGGAATTTAGGCCGCCAGTGAGTTTGCTGAGCCATGCTCCAGCTGTCTGCCTCCCTTACCCTGGCCCCCGGGGTGGCGGCCTCTCCTCTGAGCCCACAGGACTTCCCCTGGAATGCAGTGTGACAGTCCATCCAGTAGGTGTCAGTCTGCCACCAGAATGGGACTCCTCCAGGACAGGGGCTGCCCTTGTCCCTCTTTGTTCCCTTGCAGGAGGAATGGACACTTGCATCTGGAAAATTGCCCCTTTCACTTCTGTTGGCCTTATTTAGTGTTCGTTTTTTGTGGGAACTCTGTGCTGGTGAGTTTCCTCCCTTCTCCCTGGATGCTCCCCAAATGCATCATCCCTTCACTCAAGGAACATTTCTGGGGCTTTGAATGTGAGCCACCATACTGGGGACTGGGGTCAGGGCCTATCCTCGCTTGGCTCCATTTTGTTTTATTTTGTGATGTTTTCAGAAAGCTCAACATTGTTCAGATTCAACATCACAGCACAGGTTAATCTGATAAGTGAGACAAAAAACCATTTCAGATCAAAATTATGGGTTTATTTGCATTAACTAATTTATTAATTGGTCTCCACAATAAAAAACCAAAAGGTTTAAAATCTAGTCTGAAATAGAATTCTGGAAATGTGGAAAAGGAGCCTACTATTGTGTTTATGAAAGCCCAAATTGGATGTATAGCTCGACAGTAGAGCAGAGTGTTTCTGTACTGTTCCTGGGCAGCACTCCGGGAGCCTCAGCCGCCTCCTCAACCATGCGGCAAACCAGCAAGCAGTGCACTTGCCTCATAAAGCAGAGCTGTGCAGCAGTTTGCACTGAAAATATTTCCTTGTGCGTATCATTTTATAGTTTAGCAGAGGGATTAAGTAGCTTGTCCAAAGTCACACTCCTTGAAAGTGACAGCACCATCTGTTATCAGACGCCTAGTGGTTCAGCCCGTGCAGCGCTCACACACGGGAATCACGTCCTGTTCACATGGACTTCTGCCTGCAGTTGATGCTCCAGACCAGAATGTAGGACTTAGATTTATTTCTATTGAATTGACCAAACTGCCTCACTTTGAGCTTAGAGGAGAAAGAATTCCCCAGGGGCTGGAGGACATGAAGTTTTGATCTAACAGAGCGGGGGCAAGGCAGCCTAGTGCAGTGGCGAGCACTGGGAAAGCAGCCACAGGAGATACACAAACGGGCATGTCTGTGGTCCAGTAAAACTTGGTTCAGGCACGCTGAAATGTGAATTTCATGTCATTCACAAATGTCACAAAATATTTTTCAACTATTTAAAAATGTAAAAACCATTCTTAACCCTCAGGCTGTACAAAAGCAGGCTGCAGACAAGGTTTGGCCCACAGGCTGTAGTTTGACAACCCTGATCAGGGTCCATGTTAGTGTGACAGGAGAATCCAGGTGCTGAACAAGAATGAAGTGTGACTCCTGTCAGCCCCTTTTTGGTCACCCTGCATTTGCTGTTAGGGGAAAGAAGGAAGCATCATGCCCAGGGTGGAATCTGGAATTTTCAACACAGTCTGTCACTTCTACCTCTTTTGGCCTGATCATGGTAACCAAGAAGTGGCCGAGAGATGACCACTTTCTGGGGACAGCCACATTCGTGACCAAACTGCCTTACTAAGTCCTGTAGACCAGGAGGAAGTGAGAGAGGGGGTCAGAAATCCGGACGCCTCAACAGTCCCAATGCCTGTGGATGGTAGTGTGGAATGTCCATAACCTTGACTGTTGTCCATTGTTGGGTGGCCCACAAAACCTAAAATATTTACTATACGGCCGTTTAAAGAAAGTTTGCCCAGCTGTCCTAGATAAAAAGGTAACGACTACTTTGTTGAGTACATTACTTGCTTTTCAGTAGCCCATGCTACCAAGGTGGGGGGTGTACAGCTTACAAAAATGCCTATTCCTCATGTACCTGACCCTTCCAGACAAAAGGTCTGAGTGTGAGTAGGGGATGGCTGGAGAAAAGGTGAAGTAACAGCTACTGAAATGGGGCACACTGATTTCTTGGCCGAGTAACAATCCTGGCACCTGGGGAGGGAACACCCTAGACCCCTTTGGGTGGGGTTGGAGTGTGACAACTGACAATCAGTGCTCTAGATCTAGCTCTGCGGTCCAGTCATTCTAGGCATGCCATCAGACAATCATACAAAACCACCACATGGTGTACCCACGCTGAATGGCAGTGGCTGGTAATTAACCTGGTTTAGCATCTCCATCCACGTGCTGTAAAGTCAGAAGAACTCACAGAGAGAAGACTGGTCCTGAACTATTCTGAGCTCTTGAACTCCCTTAGTACATGTGCAAACACAGGCAAGCACAACCTTGCTTCAGTCTGATGTGAACAGACACGTTTCTGATGCCCAGACAGCCTTAGGTTACTTAGGTTATGCCATGCCTGGCAGTCGAAGCTGCAGTTTCACAGTGACACTGCCCAGTGTGAGTGGCCAACCTGTGTCCCTTTAGGTTACACGTTTATGGGGGGAATGGGCTACAAAGTGTCTCTCCATTAGGGATGGAAGCACTTTTTGACTCAAATGTTGCCCCTGTAATTATTGGCACTAGGAGCCCTGGTGGCACAATGGTTAAGCACTCAGCTGCCAACTGAAAGGTTAGCAGTTTGAATCTATCAGTTGCTCCATGGGAGGAAAGACCTGGCAGTCTGCTCCCATAAAGGTTAAAAAAAAAAAAAAAAAATTGCAGTCGAGTTGATTCTGACTCATAGCAACCCTATAGGACAGAGTAGTATTGCCCCATAGGGTTTCCAAAGAGCAGCTGGTGAATTTGAACTGCCGACCTTTTGGTTAGCAGCCATAGCTCTTGACCACTGCCACCAGGGCTCCACCATAAAGATTAAAGCCTAGGAAACCTTGTGGGACAGTTCTACATATAGATAGGGTTGCTGTGTGTCAGAATCAATTCAATGGCACACAATTATTGGCAATGACTCAAAGATCTTGTGTGAGTCATAGTGTAGAATACACTGACCTTAGGCTACATCCTAGCTATCTAAGACCTACTAGTCCCCTGGACTTGTTCATAGTTGGGAAGCCCAGGATCCAGGGGCAGGGTTAAGGTCAGTCCTGGAGGATGGCCTCATCCTGGGGATAGTAGCCTTCATTAAATGCTGTGTTAGACAAATGGAATGCATTTGGTCCAAGACCCTCAGACTAGTCAGGTAAACATGAGTGGCCGATGGAGGGCAGACTCGTGAAAATTCGAATTCATCGAAGAATGTGCCAGGCTGAGGGGTAGGCTGCTGGGAGAGGCGATCCACCATGGGTCCAAGCTTGCCTGCATGTTCTTGTTGTATAGTCTGGCCACTCTTCACCTGGGCCATCTTTCAAGGTTGTGCTGGCAGTAAGCAACCTCAAGGAATGAGGTGATGTCTCCCTAGGACAGAGTAGTTTGCCTCCCACTAACTGTAAAAGCTGCAAGTTCCAGAGCTCAGTGCTCCCAACTGTGACACCTACACTGTGTGCACAACATCATGGGACTCACTGGGCGTGATGGAAATTGCTGTTACATTAACACCTGACAACGGCTTCTGCTGTGAGGAATCTGGTTATTCTTTGCCACATCCGTTAACTTGTTAGCACGCAGAAAGGGTAAAATCTCAGACCCTTCAGTTCTTGACAGTTTGTTGTTTTAAGGTGTTTTGAGATCATTTGTTATGCAGCCATCAACAATACATATCCTAACTTCTGGGTGGCGTCTTCTGTGGAGAGGTGGGCCAATGCTAGACAGGTCATCCAGCCCACACGGTTGTTGTCTGCAAGGTGGGGCATGGCTGGAAATGCTGGTTTGAGAGGTCTTGGCTCTGGGCTTGTTGGCCAAGTAGGTGTGAGAGTGGGATGCGAGGGGTTGCATATTCATGCTACCGCTTACTCTCTGCCAGGCACAGTGAGGTGTTCTTGTGCATTGTTTAATCCTTGCAACTATAAAGCTGCATATTTTCAGTTAAGGGAATAGGCTCTGAATTTCAGGGAGGGCAAGTGATGTCTCAGGGTCACACAGTAAATCCCGGAATCCCAGGTGTGACTTCAGAAACCTTTGTCATGACACCAGGGCTGTTTTTGGAGTGCTGGCACAAAATCTGTACTCTGTGAATGACACCCACATAGGCAACGGGTACTTTGCCAGCCCAGCCCTGCCTCTGAAGAGGAAGGGGCTGGATCCCTGGGTTGCTCCAATGTGGGGTGAGTTTTAAAGAAAAAGAGTCAAGTGAAGAAGTTCGGAGAAGGGAAGTCTAGGTAGTGTTCTTCTGGACTTTGTCTTATGAGAGTTAATAAATTTCCTTATTGCTTAAAAAAGTTTGAGTAACTGATCCTAAAGGGAAAACGTTTTAACTTTTTTTTAACCTACTCAGTTTGGCAGAGCTCAAATGGTGTTTCATACACAGCCTTTCCATACTCAGGGACCTGGAGTCATTTGTGAACTCAAAACTCTACAGATGTGCACCTTGAATGTGAGGGACAAAGGCTTTACTGAATGGAATAAGGTCAAACATACCAGCAGGTAACATACATTTTGTATCCATTTGGATGTTCTCTTTCTTGAGAGCAATTAAATCTTTCCCAACATTCTAAATTTCCGACAGTATAAATAACCCCATATAAAATAAGTGAGTTAAGGCTGTAGGTTTATTCACATTTATAAATGTAAATGGTCTACCCCATATGACTTTTCTGATGATGAGTAAGTCTTGAGCTCCGATTAAAAGCTTTCCCACACTCATTACACTTATAAGGTTTCTCTCCGGTGTGAATTCTCTGGTGTATAATTAGGTGTGAGCGCCACCTGAATATTTTCTCACATTCATTACATTTATGTAGTTTCTTTATAGTATTAACTTTTTTACGGCTCACAAACGAACTTTCCAGGGCATGCCCATATTCATAATACCATTGGGCTCTTGTGTGAATTCTCTGGTGTTCAATAAGATATGAACTGCGACTAAATGCTTTCCCACATTCACTACATTCATATGGCTTCACTCCAGCATGAATTATCTGGTGTTGGAAAAGGGTTGAATTTTGACTGAAGGCTTTCCCACATTCATTACACTTGTAGGGTCTCTCTCCGGTGTGAATCCTTTGATGGATCGTAAGTTGTGTGCTCATACTGAACGCTTTTCCACATTCAAGGCATTCATAGGGTTTCTCTCCCTTATGGATTCTCTGGTGGTAAATAAGGCTTGAGCTCTGACTAAAGGCTTTGCCACAGTCATTGCATGCATAAGGTTTCTCTCCGGTGTGAATTCTCTGATGCTGAATAAGGTGTGAGCCCTGGACAAAGCCCTTCCCACACTCGTCACACTTAAATGGCTTTTCTCCAGTGTGAGTTCGCTGATGGCGAATAAGCCGTGAGCTACAACCAAAGGCTTTTGTGCATTTGTTACATTTATAAGGTTTTTCTCCAGTGTGGATTAACTGATGCTGACTAAGTCGAGAGATCCATCTAAAAGCTTTCCCACACTCATCACATTTAAATGGTTTCTCTACAGTGTGAATTCTTTGATGTGGGGCAAGGCTTGGGTTATCTGCGGTTCTCGACATTTGCGATTTCTCCCCAGTGTGCATTCTCTGATGCTGAGCTAGAGTTGAGCTCTGACTGAAGGCCTTCCCACATTCCTTACACGTGTAGGGCCTCTCTCCAGTGTGAGTCCTCTGGTGTCTGATCAGCTGGGACTGCTGACTGAAGGCTTTCCCACACTCACGACAACCATAGGGCCTCTCTCCTGTATGAATTCTCTGATGGTGAATGAGGCTTGAGCTCTGACCAAAAGCTTTTCCACACTCCTCACACCTATAGGGTTTCTCTCCAGTGTGAACTCTTTGATGTTGAATAAGTTTGGAGCTCAGGCGGAAGGCTTTCCCACAGTCAGTGCACTTAAATGGTTTCTCTCCAGTGTGGATTCTCTGATGCTGATTAAGCTGTGAACACAACCTGAAGACTTTTCCACATTCCTCACATTCGTATGGTTTCTCTTCTTGGCAATTACTTTGATGTTTCCCCTGGAAGCAGTGAGATAATTTTTTTTGGCACTCCTGACATTTATTAAGTTTCTTTTGCTTATTAACTTCCCAACATACAGCAATGTCTGAAATGGATCTGAAACTTCTGCCACACCCATCACATCTCTCTGCTGTCTCTTCGGCAGTATCTCTCTGATTCTCACTAAGTTTACAGTCCAGGCTGCCAGTGCTCCTCACCTCATTACATTCCTGGGAGTTCTGGGTGAAGGTCTTCTTAAGCATCACAGTCCCTTTATTTAAACGGTTTTTCTGGAAGAGGGAGTTCATCACCGTCAGCCTAGGAGAACTGCTCTGATTATTCTCTAGCAAGACCTCAGAATCAGAAGTGTCTGCAAAGCCAGGACTCAGAGAAAAATCCTGTGGGGGGATTTTGATCCTCATTCCATTTAATTCTGATTTTAGAATATCCATTTCTTCATAAGCCTGTTCGTTATCAGTCCTGATAGTAGAATCTGAAATAAAATAAAAATGCTCCTTAGTCCCTGTGCTCAGAGGAGGGAGGGTGGTTTGTCACTGGGGGAACTGAGTCCTGTCCCAGGCAGGCTGCCTTGAGCACAGTGATGCCCCCAGTGGAAACACTATGAGAGATCAACACCTTTAACAGTTCTCAAAATGTGCTTTCATTCACACTTTTTACTTTATCTCCCCGTTCAACAATGACTGTGTGCTCATTATGTACTAGGCTGAGTGCTAAGAGGTTCATCCCATAGGGAATTGGTAGGAGGAGAAATCCATAAAGAACGCAAAGTGAGAACAAAGTAAGCCTGAGAAGGGTAGACAGTTTCCCAAGAGGAAGCATTAGGCTAAGAAAGTTAGAGGATCCAACCACCCAAGGAAGTGGGAGATGTCAGAGGAAGCGGGAGAGTGGGGGGAAAGAAGGGAGTTTCAGAACTATGAACAGAGGAAATGGGTATGTAACGAGTGACTGACACTGAATAGCTGCGGAGGGCCTTACAAGGGATAAGCCCCAATGAAAGCTGGGCACAACCCCCTCTAGCAGCCCTAACCACAGCTGTTCACCAAAGCGGGGTTCTCTGAGCAGGACTCCAGGCCTGAACCCTCTGCTCTCTCTCTAGCTACTTGTAAGAGCTACTCCCGCCCAACTTGCACCTAACCACAGCCCTTGCTAGCCTGCACCTTAGCTTCCAAGTGGGCTTACCCACCTCCAGCCCCCACTGACTTCCTCCACCTTCCGCAACCCTTCCTTTGCTAATGTCACACCTCCACGCTGCCTATCATAACCACCAGCTCCCACGTGAACACTCCAGCCTGTTTCTGCTCCCACGGACCACAGCTTACTCCTAATCAGCAATGGCTGTGTCTCAAGCTTCTGATGATTTGCAGTCTACCTCTTAGTCCTGGAGTGTCTCTTTGTGAGGAAGGAGGTTACCATTTACTGACTCTTATCTTCTATATACAAGGAACACTGCCTGGTGTTTCTTAATGAATCTTTTCAACTACCCAACAAGGTCAGTAGTAGTATCCCCACTCCACAGATAAGGAGATTGTGACTCAGAGAGGTTAAGCAACTTGCCCGAGGTCACACAGCTAATGAGAGAATAAGGAATGGAACCCAGGTTAGTCTAGCCGTCAAATGCACACTTTTCCAGCCTCACTGTGCAGCAGGGATGCACCAGGTGCCGTCAGACATAGAGGGCAGTCTCCAGGCCTTGTCCTCCTGTTTCTCTTTTCCCACATAATCACACGACATTGGCAAACCTGTTCCTTGCATGAATGGTAAACACTGTGTGCTGGCTGCTCAATCCCCACTCCAGTGCCCTTTTCCCTTGCACCCTCTGCTATAGAGGTGAGGGAGCAGAACTCTTGAGACCCCCTTGAAGCCAGGTGTAGACATGAGACACGCACTGCTTCCCTTCTGCCCTCCCTGTGCTGGGCATGTGGCAGCCACGCCTCTTCACTCACAAGGATGGAAATCACACATCAGGAAGGGCTATAAAGACACAGAGATCAGAGACACTGCTGAGCTCCGTGCCAAGCCCAGAACCTCCTGCTGCACACAAGAAATAAAACCGCCACACGTTTAAGCCACTTGCATCCCAAAGCACTGCCGACTGAAAGACCAGGAAGCCACAAATCCATTCCAGCTACTCTGGACTCTCCCCCTCTGGTTCCCGGTTACTGTCTACAAGCAGTCTGGGTTACATTTACAAACTCGCACCTCTAAGGAAACACGGTGAAGCCAGAGCTGCTCTCCTTCTCTGACAGTCCCCTACCACTGTCACCGACCCAGTGACCCAGCAGCACCACTACTTCCGGGACCTCAGCTCCCCTGACCACTGAACCGGCCAGTCCTGTTCTGGCACTCGTCTGCCTTGCATGCACATCCTCACATCCTTCAGCTCAGAACAGGGCCTGCATGCTGCACAGCCGTTTCTTCCTGACTAACCAGTGACCGCCTGTGGCCCTGCCTGGTGCCCCGCCATGGTGGCGCCTCATGGACCTGTGATTTAAGCCCAAGGTCCTCACCCCTCTCCTGGAGCATGAAAGCCTTTCTCCAGAGAACTTGGGGTAACCTCTGAGAAGATGCATCCACAGATTAAAAAAACAAAAATCTCATTATAGAAGTGGTGTTTCTTCTGTAAGGCCATAGAGTAGAGGCAGAGCATAGACCAGACTGGCGGCCCACCAGTAGCCATGTTCTATGAACATCCATTAGGGACCATGACATGGACAAGGGGCTGCAGACCTTGCCCCTCCCGGCAGAGCACCTGCACCCTGAGCCTCACGTGCAGGTGCTGGCAGCCCAGCCATTCCAAGTGGCCTATGTGGGCAGTTGGGTTTCTTCTTGGCATGCTAGGGTCACATTATATGTTACAGGATTATGTCTTCCTCCAAGACGTCTCACTCCTGCCCTGAGCATCCACCTGCAGGTGCGAGCTCTGGCCAGCAGTGGCAGCTCTGGGCCTGTGCTGCAGTGATACTTCTGTTGTCACTTTTATCACCATGACGGCCATCCCTTGTGTAAAAACCCCTGAACTATACAGACTTGCCAACTATAACTGGCTTCTCGGCCTTGGTGCCCTCTTTAAAATCGTCCCTAACCTTGACAATATTGAATGGGAGCTGGGTTTCAACTGGGTCACCCTACACTTCACCCCCTTTCCAGGGAGGGTGAAGAGTCTGAACAGGACTGTGCAAGGGTGGACAGGCCCAGCCAATGGTCAGAAGCTGTGTGGGGCGGGGTTCCTGACCCTCTTTGCTACACACCAGACCCAGCCTCATGGACCAGCAGCAACGCCCCAGCACATCTTGGGGTGTACATGATGGGACCCTACAGTGACCACGAGGTGACAACACACCATAGGGTGTGCGTGACGAGACCAGGCAGTCAGGTGAGACTGCTTTCATAACGCTTCCTCTGCGCCCCTCCAGGCTGCCTGGGAACGTATTCCATACTTCCCACCATTCTGGGCAGTCTTCTTGCAGGGCCAGCCATGCCATGTGCAGCAGTGACCATGCGGACAGGGCAGCTGTGAGGAAGGGATTTCCTGCAGATATGTATAGCCCACCACCCTGTCATCTCAGTGTCAAATAGGCGACATGAATCTGCAAAGGAGACTCAGGGCATGGCCCAACAGGCTGGATGAACCAGCGCTATGAAGCAGTCAGTGCCCTGGAGGCTGACCGCAAAGGCCACGTCAGTGGCAGAGACCAGGTCACCTGCGGCCAGAGAAGTCCTGGAGGGAGCTGCTGAGGGGGTAAGGACGATGTTTACTATGGAGAGGCTGCTATGGGCTAAGCTTAAAGACAAGAATGGTTTGCTTGGCACATCTGTGCCTTTGCTTTAACAAGAGCATTAGCAAAATCAGAAACTGAGTAAAACGAGCAATTTTAAAACCAAACTCCATTTTTGCCACAACATGCGAGTGTTTTGTATCCTTGCTTTTCCATGGATCAGAGCCTCTTCCTGAGGAAGCCCCCTCCCCCCCGCCTGGGCTGTTTCTACCCCAATGGTGGTCTCAGGTGTCCCCACAGGGGCCCATGGGTGGCCAGGATCAGCCTCAGGGCCTGTCCAAGGCAGGTTTCTGAGCCCCTCCTGCCCAGAGCTTCTCTGTGATGGGGTCTGGGCAGAATGTGGAGGGCCTGGGGGCCAGGGAGAGGGGGCACCTCAGGGCCCAAGCCTCACCTATCTGGGAGGTCTTTGATGTCTCTCTGCCCTCCGATGCCTGCAGGTCCAGCACCCATGGCTCCTGCCCCTGCTCCAGGCGGGAGATAAGCTCAGGCTTGAAGACCAGGACTCCTGCTGTATGGTGAGCAGAGAAGCTTATTGGCTTGGGGGGTCCAGTGTAGCGTGCAAAGTCCCCACTGGCTTTCAGGGGTAGAGAAGTGTGAGGCAGAGACAGACTCTCTGAGGGAGCAAAGTGGAGAGGATCTGGGCACGGGTACACAGGATACTCCTGAGGCCAGACAGTGAGGGATACCCACGCTCGCAGGCCGAGCCCCGTCTGCAGCAGGGCCACTGTCCCCATTGGGCCCTGTCACCAAAGAGCCAGCAAAGAGCGGGCGAGCTCCACCCCTGGGACTTCGGAGGAGAGAAGCCGAGCACACTGCCAGTGCCCTCCTTAGCAGGACGGAGCTGCCTCCTCGGTGCAGGGAGCCAGTCTCAGAGGTGGGGCAGCTAAATACATGACAACCCACGAAACACACCAGTGAAGCAGCCCTTAAATCAGAGAGCACTACTATGGTCCGTGCCTCGCCCGCCCCCCTCCCACCTTGCTTCCCTCTCCAAAACGAAGGTGCTGGGCACTGTGGGCTCCGACCAGCATCTGCCTCCTCGGTGCTGCCCCAACACCTGCCCCACCCCGTCACTGCCGGGTGGCACAGGGACAGGCATCCCACTCGGGAGGAGAGGTTGGCCAAGGCCTCGGTGTGGAAGCTTCTCCCAGTTTCCTGCTGTGGGGTGAAGAGGGGCAGGCAACAGGCCCCACAGGTCTGCAGTCAACAAGCCTGAGCTATCAGATGTGCTTCAAACACCACACGTATGGAAAACACACACTCTCTAAGCACACGAGGAAAGCTTACAGGAACGATCCTTGTCTTAGGCCATACAGGGAGCCTCAGTAAGTTCCAAAGGAACAGTATCACAGACATGTAGCCCATCAAAATGCAATTAAATTAAAAATTAAAAAGGAAGGGAACTTAAATACTACTACATACTTGGAAACTAAATAATGAATTACTAAATGGTAACGTACTTATTATCAGGCAGAATTTGTAGGACACAGCCAAAAAAAAAAAGTTGCCGTAGAGGCGACACTGACTCATGGTGATCCTGTGTATGTTAAGAGTAGAACTGTCCTCCATTGGGTTTTCAATGGCTGATTTTTTGGAAGTAGATTTCCAGGCCTTTCTTCTGAGGCACCTCTGGGTGGGTTCAAGCTGCTAACGTTTCTGGAAGCTGAGTGCTTAGCCATTTGTGCCACCCACGGGCCAGGTCCCAGCTAAAGCAGTACTTAAAGATGGAACTTTGTATTTTTATAAAGCCTGGTGGCACAAACAGTTAAGCGCTTAGCTGTTCGAAAGGTTGGCAGTTCATACCCACCCAGAAACTGTGAGAGAAAGACCTGGTGATCTGCTTCTGTAAAGATTACAGCCAGGAAAACCCTATGGGGCAGAACCCTATGGGGCAGTTCTACTCTGTCAAATGGGTCACTATGAGTCGGAATCAACTCCACAGCACCTAACAACTAGAAACAAGAATGCAAAAAACACCAATGAGCTAAAGATTGAACTCAGTAAGTTGGGAACACACCAAACCCACAGAAATAACAAGCAATGAAATTATAAAGATGGGGAAGAGTCAATGAAATAGAGAAAAAAAACAAAAAAAAAAAAGATTAGCAAACAGAAAAGCTGGTTCTTTAAAGAAGATTAACAAGATAGTCTTGGGCCAAAACCAATCAAGGTCAACATAGTGAACCAAACCCACTGCTGTTGAGTCAACTCCGACTCACAGTGACCCTGTAGCACACAGTAAAACTGCCCTATAGGGTTTCCAAGGCTGTGAATCTTTATGGAAGCAGACTACGTATCTTTCTCCCTCGAAGCGGCTGGTGAGTTTGAACTGCTGACCTCCCACTTAGCAGCCGAGCGCTTTAACAGTGCACCATCAGGGCTTCTCAATATAGTGAACACATGCCAATAAATAAATATGAGAAACAACTACAAACATAACAGATTAAAAAATATATATATATAAACACACTATTAAAAAATTTGAAAAACTAAATGAAATGAGCTAATTACAATAAGAAAGAATGAGAAAATTACCAAAGGAGAAAATTAAAAAGCTCAAACAGCCCATTAAGCATTAAAGAAATTGAAATGCTAGCCCAAGACCTTCCTTCCCCAACAGGCCAGCCCCAGATAGTTTTACAAGTGACTTCTACCAAAAAACTTTAAAGTGCAAATATCTCCATTTATATAAACTTTTCCATTTCCTGGCCCGTGGCTCCCACCCTACAAGCTGGCCACACGGAGCTGCAAGGACTCATGCACCCAAGGCCCATTTAGCCCCTGAACGCCTAAGAGCAAGGCCTCTGTGTCCTAGCAGGTCGGGGCAGGTGGGAGCTGACGACCCTGTGGAGGGGGTCCGACGCACAGCCTCACCGAGTCCGGCCACACTGCTGTGGTTCTCCAGCATCACCTCCCTGTAGAGGGCTCTCTGGCCCGGATCCAGACACTGCCACTCCTCCCGTGAGAAGTGCACAGCCACATCGCCAAATGTCACTGCTTCCTGAAAGCACACACACCAGCGGCCCAGGGAGACCTGGGTGCCAGCCCACCCTGGAACCGCCTCATGGCTGGTCTCTGGCAGGTGCATCACGGGGTTGGGCAGGTGGTCACCACAGCCCCTTTGGCTCTAAGACCCGGGGGAGGGGCAGCCTGAGAGAAGGGTAAAGACCCAGACCATGGCAATGGCACATACATCCATCCCCCACCACCACCACAGAGCCTCAGTTGGGCCCAGGTCTGGGCAGGAGTTTGTCTACTTTGCACGTGGGAAGAGAAAGGGCATGCCTGGATGAGGGCCCAGCAGGGAAGGGTGGGTGCCCAAGCAGGGTGGAGGTGGAGGCCCTTACAGGGCAAACTGAGGGCACGGAGCCATTGGGCTTCCTACCATGAGGCTCTGTGGGTGGTGAGCATCCACACGTCCTGGCCAAGAGAGTCCTGTGGATAGTTATGAAAGAGAACAGAGATCAGGGCATTGGAGACACCCCACTTCCAGGCTAGCTGAGGGGGTCTCTGTTCTCTGCTCCTTGACCTCCGGCCCGAGGTGTTATCTGGCAGTAATGGGGCTGGGCCACAGAAGTCAAGTGAGCGTCTGCCCCTCAAGCATTTCCCCGAAAGGTCCGTTCATTCTCATCTTTGTGTGTGAGTGAACCACTCCACAAACACGTAATGAGCATTTCCACACCTGGGCACTCAACTGAGCAAGGAGGGTACAGCAGTGAATAAACGGACATAGACACTGGCTTTGTAGAGCACAGTCTAGGGGAGAAAAGAACTGAGTGATCACAATAAGCACAAAATCACAACCACGACAGTGCTAAAATACAGGGAACTCTGAAAGCATTTACAGTAAGAAACACTGACGTATTCGGATGGGTCACTTCTCTGAAAAAGAAAGAGATCTACAGTGTGAGCAAGAGTAACTAACTAGGCCAAGAAGGTGGAGGCGAGGAGGGCACCTGAGGCAGCGGGAACAGCATGTGCAAAGGGCCTGAGGCAGGAAGGAATGCGGCTATATGGAGCCAGTGAGGCTGGATCACAGGCTGCAAGGGGAAGCCGGGAGTGACACTCAAGACACCGCCTTTTCTGTCACTGTCTCTAATTCCAGGCCGAAGGGCAGTGAGAGGAAAAGAGAGGGCCCTGGAAGGGGGTACTCCGCAGGAGGTGAAGCAGGAATCCTTGTAAAGCCAAAGGATACCTGAGGGAAGCCCGCGGCTGGCGCTTGCCTTGCTGCTCCCAGTGGAGCGGCAGGACTCGCCCAACGACTCCCACCCCAGCCGACTATGGCTAAGGCGGTCGCTGCTCGAGCACCTCCCTCGCCAGGCGGGTAGGCCTCTCCAGGCCGCCCGCGGAACCGCGCTTCCCAGGGGACGGCCAAGAGGGACCAGGGCGAGCCTAAGGGAGCCCTGAAGGCCGGGCGCCGAGCCTGAAGCGCCAGAAGCGGAAGGACACAGGGTCCGGCGTCCGCTCGGCCCGAAAGCGGACAGCACACAAACCTCTCCCACCAGGCCGCCTCGCCCGCCAAGCGGACTCACCCTCCCGGAAGACCGCCCGAGGTTCGCGAGCGCGATGACGCCGGAAACGGGCCTCGGGCATCCGCACCCGCTCCCGCCCTGCCCCGCTGACTTCCGGCCTATCTAGGCTTCACGGAGGCTCGGCCATCTCTGTGGTTCCCAGCCCCGCCACCCCGGAACCGAGGGAGGGGCGGGCCAGAGCTGGGAGCGGCGTCGGGACCAGACCGGAAAGTTCTCGTGGACAAGGAGCAGGTTTGCGGAGACCACCACCTCTAGACTCACATATTGACCCGCCAGCAGAGGGCACACGGAAGAGAGGACGGCTCGGGGGCGAGGGAGGAGCAGGTGCTGGGAACATAAATAATGCTGCAGTGAAAAAGCCTTAAATGTGCGTCTCTGTATATGTGTATTTCTGTAGGAGAGGTTTGTACTTGTGAAACTGCTAGGTCTGAGGACGTGTACTAGTTAAAAGGATTTACCAGTGTACACTTTCCTTACTGCCACATGAGAGTGCCCTGGCTTTGCCAGCGTTTGGAGTTATCTTTGCAAAACAGTCTTAACGTTTCATTGGTGGTTTCATTTTAATTTCGACGCACGCTAGCGTGGTTGAGCGAGCGTCTCTTCACATCATTTTAGCCATGTGTAATTTTGTTGTCTTTTTGATCTTTAGACAAAGTTCAACATTTTAGACAAAGAAGATGCTTGGCATATCTCAAGTTGAAAGAACTGCAGAAGAAATTCAAGCCTTGAGTTGTAATGTTGAACGAGTCTATGGGAAAATATTAAACAACGCAGGAAGCATCAAAAGAAGATAGAAGGAATACACAGAGTCACTATACCAAAAAGAATTGGTCGATGTTCAACCATTTTGGGAGGTAGCATATGATCAGGAACCGATGGTACTGAAGGAAGAAGTCCAAGCTGCACTGAAGGCATTGGCAAAAAACAACAGTCCAGGAACTGACAGAATTCCAACTGAGATGTTTCAACAAACGGATGCAGCACTGGAAGTGCTTACTTGTCTATGCCAAGAAATTTGGAAGAAAGCTGTCTGGCCAACCGACTGGAAGAGATCCACATTCATGCCTATTCCCAAGAAAGGGGATCCAACTGAACGTGGAAATTATCAAACAATATCATTAATATCACACGCAAGTAAAATTTTGATGAAGATCATTCAAAAGCAGCTGCAGTAATATATCAACACGGTACTGCCAGAAATTCAAGCCAGATTCAGAAGAGGAAGTGGAACCAGGGATATCATTGCTGGTGTCAGATGGGTCCTCGCTGAAAGAAAATACCAGAAAGATGTTTACCTGTATTTTCATTGACTATGCAAAGGCATTTGACTGTGTGGATCATAACAAATTATGGATAACATTTTGAAGAATGGGAATTCCAGAACACTTAATTGAGCTCATGAGGAACCTGTACATAGATCATTAGGCAGTTGTTTGAACAGAACAAAGGGATACTGCGTGATTTAAAGTCAGGAAAGATGTGTGTCAGGGTTGTATCCTTTCACCATACTTCCTCAATCTGTATGCTGAGCAAATAATCATACAGATGGATCTTGGCTGAAAGGTCCAGTTTATGGGGAGTTGAGGATATTGACTGCAGGGCTCATGAGAGCAGGGGCCATCATGTGTTCTTTATTCATTGTATAGCCAGTGCTTGACATGTACTGGGCGCTCGGTATTGAGCGAATGAAGCTGCAGAGTATAGTCATTTCAGGTGATGGTGGGAATGTCTCCAGGAGAGGCCAGGTAGGGGAGCAGACGTGAGAACTGGGAGCAGAAAGAGAGAGGTGGCAGGTATAATTAAGATTGGTGTGATGGTTAAGACTGTGTCAACTTGGCTGGGCCATGATTCTCAGGGTTTTGGCAGTCGTGTGATGTGGTCACTTCCCTGTTGAGATTTGATATGTGATCACCCTCATGATGAGATCTGCTGTGAGTAGCCAGTCGGTTGAGGAGGAGTTTCCCTGGGCATGCGGCCTGCATCAAGTGTGGGTGGATGTTCTGGCAGGGCTCAGGGGCTTTTGTGCATTCTGGATCCTACAGCTGGCTTCTGTTCATCTGACCTCTGGTTCTTGGGAGTTGAGTTAGCAGCTTAGCAGCTTACCTGTGGTTTTGCATGCCAGTCTTGGGATTCATAGATCTTCATGGCCTGTGAGCAAGCGTCCTGCTCCCCAGCCTGCCCATCTTGGGTTTGCCAGCCCCTGTGGCTGTGTGAATCAGAAGAAGTCTCTGTCCTGACCCACAGACTTAGGACGTTACAGCCTCTGCAACCGTGTGAGCCATTTCTTTGATATAAATCTCTCTCTCTCTCTCTCTCTATATATATATATATACATATGCATACACATATATATATATATGCATATATATATACACACCGTAGTGGTTTTGTTTCTCTGGAGAACCGGCCTAACACAATTGGGATCTCTCTTTACTGGTAGGTTTCTTTTTTTTATACTTTAGGCCCTTGGACCTGACTTACTGCCTCCTGAGATTCCAGGCTTTGACAGTCCAATCCCCTTTGCCAACTCCCCACAAACTAGGCTTCAATGCCCACCTTCTTCTCCTCATCTCCAGTAGTGGAAGAGAATAGAACACCTGAGACCAGTGGTTTCCAATGAAGGATTTGGGATGGGACATCAGTGCCTGAGGCTTCTGTCTCCATTGGGATCCTTTTCTACGAAGCAGACATCACACCCCCTTTTGTGCTGTCATTTGATCTTTCAGTACCATTCATTGTCAGAGGACATCCTTCTACAGTGGAATTTTAACCGAGGTTTACTCTTCTGGCCCAGACTATCCTAGTCAGAGCAGTTTGTGGTATCTTTTCCATTCCTCCCTCTTCCATTTATTTAACAGATTTTTTTGGAAGGTTTAATTTGCGTCCTAGGTACTTAAGATACAATGGTAAACAAGAAGGTTGAGGAGATGATGAGTTTAATTTCAAACTTGTTTTGAGACATCGAAACAGAGATGTCCGGTAGGCAGCTGGATATACAGACGTGCAACTCAGGAGATCAGGACTAGAGGTACAGATTTAGATGCCGTCAACATCTATAGAAGATAATTTAAGCATGGAGGTGTATGAAATTGCCCGGTAAGAGTGTCAAAGAAAAGACATGGCCCAAGGACAGAAGGAAATAGCAATACTTAATAATGGGCAGAGTTAAAGGAGGGGAAGGAGTGGCAGAGAGGTAGAAGGAAAACCGGAGTGCAATGTCATGACAACACAGGGAAGGGACTGTTTAAAAAGGAGGCCATGGTCAAGCCGCTGTGAGTTCACTGTTTTCACATTGGTCACAAGAACGATTTTAGTGGATAATGAGTGGGTTTCAAAATTCATCTGGAGTGCTTTGAGATTGAATTGAATGAGAGGCAAAGGATGTGGAGATACTGTTCGCTGCTTCCAAAAGTTTGGCTGATGGGAAGAAGAGCATGGACACTGGAAGGAAAAATAGAATGAAAGAAGCATTTTTGAAAGAAGGCAAAACTTAAGTATATGTATGTGGGAAGCTGCCAGTAGAAAGGAAGAAACGCATCATCTGGGAGCGAGGCACTGAGAAGGTCAGCAGTACAGACGAGTTACTGAAGTAACTAAAGGAAAGAAAGAAACCACCCCAGGCCAACGCTTGGGTCTCTCAGCGAGACCCGGAGTCCTCCCAGCTGGCTAGAGCGGCCGGAAGCGCCCCGAGAGAGGGTAGCTCCGCGGCCGTTTACGTTCTGTTGCTGGCGCGTCGCCGGGCAAAATGCTGGGTTCGGTGTCGGCCTTGTGGCGGCGGGGCACGGAAGAGGCTGGCCGCGGTCCTCATCGCCGCTTCGTCCCTGGCGCCGGACAGTAAAGGCTCAAAAGCCTTTTCGACCTGAGTCAGTGAGAGGGAAGGGATGTGAGAAGAGATGGAGAGCTTGTGGCGGCGACTAGGTCTTGAGGGTAAGTAACCAGGGTTCTGTGAACGGGATCCACAGAGTAAATGGATTGTTCCCAAGAATTAAAGCGTCCTAAGAAATGGGAATATCTCAGATACTTTAGAAATAGCCAGAGGGAAACAGGCACAAGTGAATCTGGTTGTACTTGAGCCACCAAGAGCAGATGGGGTCATGGACTACCTGTGAGCTTCTCATTTGGGACATAGCAGCTAGAGGCCGCACAGACGTCATCCTACATTGTACAGTTGCCCTGCCCCCGGGCGGGGGGGAATACATTGAAAATAGATTACAGAGTTGAATGCAAAAATTAGGTTGAAACTGAAAGACTAAATGACATCAGAGACATTTCTCAATGTTGGTAGGCTATGGATTCCCTTGTGATATTTGTAGTGGCCTATGCTAGCAAGGTTGGCTCACTGGAAACCCTTGAATGGAACAACAACAAGAAAACAAAATTGGCATTAAAGAGGTCTTCACGTTTCGAAATAAATGTTTGTATTCTTGGCTGGGGATGTGGAGGGATAGATGCAAGCTACTCCAGAGGGGCCTGGAGGGAAGCTTGACTCGGTTGTAGGCGTTGGGAGAAAACAGCCCAGCCCAGCCCAGGAACTCAGAGTCCCATGTTTGATATTAAAAGAAAGGTGTGATGTCACCAAAGAAGACATTCAGGTGGCCAACAGACACATGAGGAAATGCTCGTGATCACTAGCCATTAGAGAAATGCAAATTAAAACCACAATGAGATACCATCTCACCCCGGCATTACTAGCACGAATCAAAAACACTGGAAATAACAAATGTTGGAGAGGCTTCGGGGAGATGGGAATTGTTACACTGCTGTTGGGAATGCAAAATGATACAACCATTTTGGAAAATAATAATGACACTCTCTTAGAAAGCTAGAAATAGAAATACCATACTATCCAGCAATCCCACTCCTAGGAATATATCCTAGAGAAATAAGAG